ACGACATGAAACTACTCCAGTTAGCTCAATCATGTTGTAACTAAGACATCCGCTGGAAAATATATCTTTTTCACGTTGACGAGACGGCGTTTTGGGAGGAGCGGTCGCTATGGACGCGGAGCTTGCTGTTTCTGTAGGTACACATTTCCTGGGGACACCGGCACGTCCCGGCCACGCCCCCTCCATTGTGATTGGCTAAAGCGCAGCATGTTCAAACTCAAAGCCCCCCCCCCCCCCCCCCGTAGTCGTCTTCCAGACAGGGCTGCCGACAGATTCTACAATCTGCAGAATCTGTCTTGAGAAATTAGGGAGGTGAGGTGATGGGAGGTTGCCTGGCAACAATAACAAGGCACATCAGATGTTTTTTTTTTTTTCTTTTACTATTGGCATTTAATTTTAACGGCTCATGTTTTGCAGCCTGCAAAATGTTTTCTGTGTGATCGGGGCTGAAGCAGCCAACCTGCGACGTGCAGTACAGTATTTAAGAAACACTGATTTGTGACATACATCTGTTCTATTGAGTCTTCCTCTGGTTTATATCAGCTGATGTGTTTGTTTTGGGGAGGAAGAGACCTCTGAGGATGATGCAGCTCCCTGTATGAACCTCCTGGACACCGGAGGACTTCTAACCAGGAGAAGTTTCAGCTGGTGGTGACGTCCAGTCCTCACCACAAGAAGCCACTAAAATCTGACACACTGACTCTGATAGTATGTCTTCACAGGAGGGAACCAAAATCAGACTGATTATTTTCATATCATAGATGAAGGAGGAGCTGTTGATATCTGAGGGTGCCCAGAGCCCCTGTGTAGTTCCGCCCCTGCGCATGAACATACCGTTAGCTGAGTTAGCGCGGTCAGGTGAGCACCATTCACTCAGTGACAGGAGCTTTATACTGTGTGACGACACTACAGGTAATATAACTGCATATAACGTGCCGTTAAAGACAATAAGAAGCTAACGGTCAGCAGGCAGTGACAGCACCATTGTCACTGCCTGCTGACCGTTAGCTTTGACAGTTAGCTAGGTGCATGCTAAAAACATCAGGACACACGCAAACCGCAGGGTGACGTACACATCTGGCACTGATATAAGACGGGAAGTGACGTGTGTACAAACGGTGAGCTCACCTGTGTCAGTTACAGGACCATCTCTGCTCGGTGATGAGCGACATTCAGCTGCTCTGTGTTTGAACAGCCCGTGTTTTCGCTGTTTGGGCGGAGAAGCTCTGTGTGCTGAATCTGACAGCCGCCCACTGCGGCCCCGCCCTAAACACACGACTGACAGACGCTTCAGCCAATCACAGCCGAGATACGCACCAGGCTCCGAATGTGATTGGATAACAGCGTGCGGTGTGATGCTGCATTCATTTGATACAGGCAGTGATTTAATCTGTGGACCTCATGATGTGTTCACAGCAGGAAAATTAAACATAATGAAATCCAACAAAGGGAAAGAGGTTCATTTTAACTTTGTCTTTCACATGTGGTCATAATGTCTCTTTGGTTTTTATTCAACAGTGCCTCAAATAAAGAAAAGCTGAACTCAGATACAGAGATTTTTATTAGACTGTAGGCAATCCTATTGTTGTATGGTGGCCCCGAGGGTCAAAACACAACATTTAACAAAACAAAACAACATTTCAGAAAATACTACAATATTTGACAAAACAAACACTGCAATATTTCAGAAGAAAAACTTCAACATTTGACAAAACACAACACAAAACACATTTTAGAGAGTAATATGATGCAGACAACACTACAGCATTTCTGAAAAGACAAACTTTTCACAAACAAAACACGACAGTATTTAAAAACACTGCAACATTTTAAAAACAAGAGGGCTTTAATATTCTCTTTATCTAGTGATGGACTAAGAGTCTCATCCTACTCTCAAATGTGCTATGTGTGAGCTCAGTCCTGCGTGTTCTTTAATGAAGCAATAGGAGAAGATATTCGGTCTCAGTTAATGTAGTTTATTAAGCAGTAAAGGAATAAAATTACAGAGCTCTGGGTCTCAACTTCACGTCCCTGACGAACAACAAAGGTGTGTCAGTTCACGAAGTCTGACCTCCTGTCCTTACCCTGACCCAGTATATTTGAGCGTAACAGAGTGTCATTGTGCACGCAAGGCGTTGTCCTCTTCTCATTGGCAGTTCCACTTCCTCCTTCACCACACCACGCCCCTGCCTCATGTTAATCTGACTCCTTCCTGCTGGCGGTGGGGGCGTGGTTCCTGTTTTGAAAGACAAGAGAACAACACAACTCCCTACACGTGCTGTACCTTACTATCTGTATATCACTTTCTATTCTTTTTACCATATATGAAACTAATTATCTAAGCATTGCGGTATGTGCTCCTCAGACTTCATGTCTCTTCCTCTCCTGTACTTCTCCACTTCTGCAAAGCAAACACATTCAGATCAGCTGAAATCATCTCAGTATTCTCATTGTTCACACATCTAAAACTTATATAGTGAAACACAACTTATAGTAAAACACATAACATCATTCTATTCCCAACACTAGCTATAGTAATATCATCATGAAACGTATTATCTGTCCCTCACATTTTGATGTTTAAAGCACATATGTTGCTCAGCAGGCTTTTGTAGGGCAGTATTTTCTGCCTTGATCATTTTATCCAGAGCTGAAGAGACGGACACTGTGAGCAGGATTTGAACCTGCGCGGGGAAACCCCATTGGATTTCGAATCCAACACCTTAACCACTCGGCCATCACAGCTGTGTGCTCCTCCTCCTCCTGCTCGTCCTCAATAAATGATCCAAAGCCCAAACTCCTCTGCATTACCTCTGTCTGAACTTTCCTTACTGACATGTACAGTCTTATCTTGTACTCACAGCCAGGAGCTTCAGTTTTACGACTGCAGGGAAAATTTAGACGCAGCACCACTAACTGATACCTGATAAACTATCACTTGTTATATAAACATAAAACTGACAGATAAAATAATCACTGACTTATTTGTCACACACTCCACTGATCCTCCTGAGACCTGGACTTTTGTTTGGTATGCATTTTTAATTTCTCCTAGCTATCTGGGATCAGTAGGACCCGATAAGTATAAAAAACAAAACACTGTTGACGATAATTAAGTCCCAGTGTGCTCAAACGAGACAATAAGAAAGTCCCAATGTCAAACAAGTACTTCCCAATTTACATTCTTAACTTGTGACTGTTGATAAATCTTCAAACATTATTAATCATAAATAAACAAGTTTCAACCATTAAATGTGATCAGGATTTTAGACCTTGTCCACTTTTGCATCAGGATCTGCTGCAGACTGACTTGGCAGAGGCGGCTGCCATCTTGTTTTTACATAGATTACTATAGCTATTGTGCTCTTACTACCACGAGATGACACGCCAAGTGTCCATGAACAAGCACAAGAGGTCTGAGTTAAGTAGAGTATAAGGTCAAGTAAAACCCAAACTGTGATGTCATCATATGAGGACACAGGGTCTCAGGAGGTCAAAGGTCCTGCAGGTCAAATAAAGTGGATGTTTTGGTGTCTTTGCTTTATTCCATTGTATCTTTTGTAAACATTTCTAATTGTTGTCGATGCCAAATAAAACAATTTATTGGCTATAACTGAGAGTAATCTAATCAGTGTGTTTTCTTTAGTGTATAATCACCTGAAAATAAGAATGGTTGTGTTTTCGTTACCTTAAAATGAGACATTTATATCTACACAGGGAGCAGGACGAACAACATGGTGATCTCTGCAGGTCAAGTCTGCAGAGATCACCATGTTGCACTGCTGTATTTCTACAGTAGCCCAGAGCAGACAAACCAAACAGACTCTGGATAGAGACACTGACATTTTCATGTATGTAAGTAAGAAGCCAGTCCGAGACATGCAGTGTCAGAAAGACAGTTATTTTTTCAACGTGAAAAAAGCTGTTTTCAGCATCTTTACTGGTTTAAATCAGCAGATCTGTTTTTAATGGTTTTTATGACATCAGTCAGGACCTGTCTGTCCTGTTTGGTGTTGCTCCTTCAGCGTCTGAGGTGAAACAGTATCTAGCGCCCAGGTCAGGTCCGTGGTGATGTGGACACCATGGTACTTGAAGCTGTCCCCTCTCTGCATCGAGGACTAGGTGATGAGGTGAGTTTAGTTCCCTCTTGGCATTTTCCCAAAGCCCACCATCAACTCATCAGTCTGTGGCGTACCCTATATTGTGACTATGTGACACTCTGTAGGACAGTTTAATATTTTGGTGTGTATTATGACTACTATATAATTTGTTTACATTATTTAATACATGAATGTCTTGACTTCCTGTATATATTATAAGTAAATGTTCTGTTTGTGATACCTGACACGTAATTGGTCAGGCAGAACAACATCTACTGCATGTCTGTCCATCCTGGGAGAGCGATCCCTCCTCAGTTGCACTTCCTGAGGTTTACTCCGTTGTTGACCCATTACAGGGGTTTTTGGGGGAGTTTCCTTATCTGCTGTGAGGGTCTGAGGACAGAAGGTGTCGCATATCGTACAGATTGTAAAGTCCCCTGACACAAAGTGTGATTTGTGATACTGGGATATATACGTGACATTGACTTGATGTGATTTGAAGAACACGATATAAAGAATAGCACAAAAACAAATGTAACTAGGAACATAAAAGAAAAGTGAAGCGTAAAAGTCTCCTCTGTCACAGTGACCAAATATCACTTTAACAAATACATGAAGACATTTAATGTCTGAAGAGAGCTTAGAACAGCCAATCTGAAACCAGTTTGATCCATGTGCTTTAAATGGACACTGATGATTTTATCTCTGTCACATCAACAGTATGAAACCTTCCTGCTTTATTTCCAGCTCTGGAGGTGAATACATGTCTTCTTGTGTAAAATAATTTCAGTGATTGAACGTTGGTGTTGCAGTGTGTGTTGCTGCTGTGGGTTAAACTTTAACATGTATCATATAAAGTCATACAAAGACGCAGCAGCTGAACTTTGAACTGAGCGCTGCAGGTTGGTTCATCACAGTGTTTGAGTGTGACAGCAGCCTGCAGACACAGAGGACTGAATCCTGACGGAGGACAACAGAAAACTCTTTGTGTCCACAGACCTGGTCCAGACAGCAGAGAGCTGCAGAGTGATGAAGTCCATGAGAAGAAACTGAGTAAGTGGACCTTTGATTGATTCCAGTCTCTAATGTGTCTCTGTTGGTTCATGTGTTCACCTCCTGTCTTTGATCCAGACTCCACAGCACAAAGTTTATCTGACAACAAACACTTTAAAGTCTAATGATGAACCTGTCTGTCTGTCTGTCTGTCTTCATCAGGAGGCTGCAGGTTATCACCAACATGAAAAGGTATCACACTCAACACTTGACATCACATTTGATCCTGTTTCACCTTCAACATGTTCATCAACTCTCTGTTTCCTGTTTCTCTGCTCTCTCACCTCAACACTGACTCATAATAAACCTGTAAATGTACTCAAAGAGCCACAACGTGTCAATATAACTTAATTTAAATGTCAAACAAAAGTCATTTCCACACGTTGTATAAAACACATACAGTTGATACTGGACTTCAGTTTGGACTCTGATACTTGAATTATTTTATCAAGGCTCATATTTCATGTTTATTGAGGCCTCTGTTGGTCAAAGTGCTCTCATAGATCAGAGGATCATTTCTACTCTGTTAATTAATAACTGAATCAACTCAATAACAATGTTTTATTATGATGAAATAACCAGTCTATGAAGGAAGGACCACTGTAGTTATTTTACATGATCTGAGCTTTGAACTCTGATAATCTGGATTTGTGTGTTATCTGCAGTCACAGAGACAAAAGTTTTCAAAGTGAATCCAACAGAAACAAATGAGAGCATCTGTGAGTGTGAGGACGATCAGCCGACGGTTTCATGTCAGAATAATATGAGCCGTGTTCACACTTTATTCTTTGTATGTATGTATTTGTGTTGTGTGTATATATAGTGAACGTTACATGATGTGTCTCTGTTAAAGTGTCTGAAGCAGCAGACTGAACACATGTTGCACAAACTGTTGATACAAAAACTGTTGGAGACAAACTCTGAGATTAATCACAACTGTTTGTCATATGTCATGCTGTATCCATGGCAACGACTGTAGTCCTCATGTTAACCCTGTGGACTCAGCAGTGTCACAGTGTTAACAGTGAGAATTTAAACACATGACAGAGTGAGTGAAGTGTGGGAGGGCTCAGTGTGCAGGTCCACAGGGTGGAGGTTTGGATTGTGAGCTCCCCCTGGTGGTCAGTGAGGTTTACAGCTGCTCTCAGTGTTCCTGTCAGTCTGCTGTCTCCTGTAGGATTCTACTAGAGTCCACAGGATGGGACTGCTGCAGAGGTCTGGGGAGCAGCTCCAGAGTTTTGGGACTAGTGTCAGAGGTTTGTGAGGAAGCTTCAGAGCTCTGGGAACAAGTTGTAAAGGTTTGGGGACTCATGGTAGATGTTTGTAGCTCAGCTGCAGAGGTCTGGTGACAGACCTCAGTTTGATGAAGAGTCAGTAGTGTCAGAGAGTTGCCTGTTTTTTTGGACATTTGTACATGAATCTGTTATTTGAGAATATAAACAGCTATAAGCAGCTTCGTTGACAATGAAAAAACGTTTGTTGTAGTACAAAGACATGTATACATATACAGTGCTGCTTGAAAGTTTGTGAACCCCTTGAGTAGTTTAGATTTTTCTGTTATTTTCTTATTCTATCATGAAATGTCAGGGTTTAGTTCATCAATTCCATTTTCTTGTTTTGAGCGAACTGTGTGAGTAGCCAACAGACTACATGAAACATGGAATCAGAGTATGTGCAAAAGTAATTGAACCACAGCTGCATTGGTAAAGTCAAGAAGGTCAGGTGAAACACATGTGGGTGCTCAAGTAATCAATTTAGCAGACCAATCAAATGAGACATCCTTAGGAAAGGTTTTGAGCAGCCCTGATTAAAAGAGAGAGGAAACCAACCAAACCACTGTCGTGCCAAGGCGTAAAGCACACAGATCAACAATGCCTCAGTCATGGAGTTAAAGCTGGGACAGAAATGGATTATGCAACAAGACAACGACCCAAAGCATTCCATGAACACTACCAGGGAATGGCTTAAGAGCAAGAAGATTTGCACTCTGGATTGGTGCGCTCAAAGTCTGGACCTCAATCCCATAGAAATACTGTGGAAAGATCTGAAGCAGGCGTTGTATGCCAGATGTCCCTCCAACCTCTTTCAACTGGCTGAGTTTTGCAAGGAGGATTGGGCAAAAATCCCCAAAAGCAAATGTGAGACACTGGTTCGTGGTTACAGAAGATGTTTGGTTGAAGTAATTGCTGCATAAGGAGGTGCCACAAGCTACTAACTAGAAGGGTTCACATACTTTTGCACATGGCAGATTTTCTGTTTTTTGAGGGATAAATTACTTTTGTTGAATACATAATAAAAACATATCTCTTTTTTCTGTGTGTCCCTTATTTGGAGGATTTGCTTTACAAATTGGGAATTGGATGTTCATTTCATAGGGTCGTTTTAATTTGTTTTTAGAGACAATGACCATGTTTGAAGGGTTCACAAACTTTCAAGCAGCACTGTATATCTCTATGTTGCTTCCTTGGTGCAGTGTGCACCTCACTGATTAAATGTTATCAGTTCAAATCCCAGCTGTGACAGAAAATATAGTGTTGAGTTCCCCTTATGTGACACATAACTCCATCTTGTTAAACCATAATCTTCAGCTGTCAGCACTCACACACATTTTCTTCAGTAAATTCAGTTCTAGTTAAACGTTGCTGTGTTGATCCTTTTCCTGTTGATAGCTGATAGTTTCTCCAGCAGCTGCTGAGGCTGAAGACTAAAAACTGAATTTCCCTCCCTGCTGGTCTTCCTCTCTGTGTGCTAGGATCCATCAGAGACCAGACTCACCTGGACCTGAACCTGAACCTAACCCTGACCCCAACTGTGTGTCCCCCAAGTCTGACCAGTCACATGAACATGGCATAAATGTTAAAAGACGAAAAGTCTCTGCTGCACAGTAAGCTGACATTAAATGTTAAAGATGCTTATGTTTGTAATTTGATGTAATATAATATTAATACTATTGTGCTGCTGTTATAATCTTATTATCCAGGTCTTGGTTAATTTACTTATCTATTTTTCTGTGTTTGTCTGATGAGGGCAGGGATGTGGGTGGGAGTGGGTGAGCAAGATGCCTGTACCTGTGTATATGTATTGTATGTTTGTTATGTGATATTGTCTTTGTATGTAATGTTGTCTTTCTCAAGGGACCCCCTTGAAAAGGTGATGCTACATCTTAAGGGGCTTTCCTTTAATAAATTTCAAAAGAAGCTGACAGCTTCACAGTTTAACTGGTCTTGTCTCCATCATCTCCATCATCTCCATCATCTCCATCATCTCCATGCCCCAAGCCTCACTTTCCGTCATCTAAAAGTCACTCAGGAAGCGAGTACAGTCTCAACACAGTCTCTTCCACGGTCCATATCCCACTCAGTCAATCTCCACTCAAAACACAAAATCCATCATGTAACTTTAGCCTCCCTCCATTGTCCCAACAACTGTGGCCTAATGCTAAAAGAATTCTCTCATGTCAGTCGTCATGCTCACTGCTCCGTCAACACGAGCTCTCTTCTGGAGGCCATCAT